GTGCCACCCCTCCGTGCACCCGTCCATCACACAACCTGTCATACTGGTACAAAGAAAACTGCTGAAAGATGACTGTATCAGCAGGTTTCAGAAATGTTTCCTATAAGGAGAGACACACGGGATGATAGAAGTTAATTAAGGCTTTAATGTCATCGAGATTAGAACGAAAACCTCGACAGTTCCACTATGTCAAAGTGGCCATTTTATGTAGGTTTAGGAGAACAGGGTGAAGAACCCTTTGGTTTATGACCACGCCATTTTACTTTACTAGATGGAGGTCAATCAACCTCCATGGATCCTGCCCTTGATCGAGTGGACAGATATCTGTCATTACAATGAGAATCCAATGACTGAGGACGTGATTGAATGATCGTCCTGCATTTAGGGGCCAAAGAAGGACCTGATTGGACACCAGAGGCTGGTGCCTCAGGAGGTTGGCCCAGGCAGTCACTGGAAGGAATAGTGGGGACAGAGATTGGAGTAGACATAGACCGGTCAATTCTATCATCCATGGAGGGCAGAAGACCCCTCACATGGCGTGAAAAAGACTCAGATGGAGACACGGAAAGGTCCATCTGCACCGCCACTGTACCAGTGGAGTGTAGTGCAGTGGCATATATCAGAGATGGAGTAGGAAACAATAGCTTCTGAGCCTCTGGATAAGAAATGTTGTGAACAGTCTTCAAATGCTGTACCTATTTCTCCTCCACCCACTTAGGACAAGACCTAAAGTAAGAGGGGTGGGTTTGCATTCGTAGGAGTTGTGGTCCTTGCCACCACAACGAGCACACGTCACAGAACCACGACAAGATGTCTTTGAATCACCGAACCATTGGCACTGAAAACATCTGAGAGGGTTGGGAATAAAGGGTCATACCTTACAGTTCAAATAACCCGCCTTAACAGTGGCAGGTGGACGTGGTGATGAAAACGTCAAAATAAGAACTGAGGTCAGCACCATAATACCATCTTGACGAGTGGAGATCCTTTGAACTGCTGAAACTCCTAGGCTGGAGAAACCAGCAAGGATCTCTGACTCAGGGATAGACTTCAAGTCCCTCTCAACAATAACTCCTCGTGAGAAATTCAAAGAAGCGTGGGGAGTATCCTCAATGGGTATATTCCCAATGGCCTTTGAATTCAAGAGGAGTTCATTGTGCTTAGTTGTGGATGTTTCAACCACGATGTCTCCAAAACAGAGCTTCTTAACTGACTTTGGAGAGCCAGCAAGCCCCTCGAAGCCCTTCTGAATAAAAAAGGGAGACATTTGCCCTAAAGATTTATCGGATAGTGAATGCAAGATTAGAAAGTGAGGTTTTGTTTTAATTTTGCGCAAAGCTACACGAGGGCTATCTGCGCTAGCTGTTCCTAATTTAGCAGTGTAAGACTAGAGTGAAAGCAGCTAGTCATCACAACCCACTGCCAACTCTTGGGCTACTCTTTTACCAACGAATAGTGGGATTGACCGTCACGTTATAACGCCCCACGGCTAAAAAGGCGAGCATGTTTGGTGTAACGTGGATTCGAACCCGTGACCCGCAGATTGCGAGTCAAGCACCATAACCAGCTGGTCATGCCGGGTCGTTTGTACTAATAAAAACACAAACGCTGCTGACAAATTTATTATTCATAAATTCTCAGTTTAACGTGTTTGTCTTGTGGGGCCCAATAATGCTTTCGTGTTTGTCTTGTGAGATCCAATAATGCTTTCGTGTTTGTCTTGTGGGGCCCAATAATGCTTTCGTGTTTGTCTTGTAAGATCCAATAATGCTTTCGTGTTTGTCTTGTAAGATCCAATAATGCTTTCGTGTTTGTCTTGTAAGATCCAATAATGTTTTAGTGTGTGTCTTGTGAGGCCCAATAATGTTTTCGCTACAAAACGCAGAAAGTTAGTTTTCCACCAACTAAAGATTTTTATGTGGTGAAAGTTTCTTTTTACGAAGCGTGAAGTTATTACAAAAATGCGAGAATTAAATAGAAAACAAATATACGTTCTTTGAGGGTTTTTTACGACGTGATTAACAATGGACAATAACCAGTTTCCTCATTCTAAGCTTTGTATAACTGTTTATTTTATAATATGGTTAACAATAGACGATAACCATTTTCCTCTCTCTGAACTTTGTATATCTGTTTATTTTATAATATGGTTAACAATAGACGATAACCAGTTTCCTCTCTCTGAACTTTGTATAACTGTTTATTTTATAATATGGTTAACAATAGACGATAACCATTTTCCTCATTCTAAGCTTTGTATAACTGTTTATTTTATAATATGGTTAACAATAGACGATAACCATTTTCCTCTCTCTGAACTTTGTATATCTGTTTATTTTATACTTTTCAGAAATGTCCTTGTGGAGTTTCTTTTAAATATATCCTGAATCATAAATATATTCATTTTTCTTTTTTGAATTAAAATTCATAAAGCTTAAAACAAGTTTATAAAAAAGCACAGACGGCGCTTAGGATTGTTTTTTGTTAAGCATAAAGCTACACAATGGGCTATCTGTGCTCTGTCCACTACGAGTATCGAAACCCGGTTTCTAACGGTATAAAAAGTCCGCAGACATACCGCTGTACCACTAGGGGGCGGCGCTTAGGAATAAATTCGTTTTCGGCACCAGATAATCAGAGGTTAATTATTTTTGGAATTTCCTATACAAACAGAAATCTGATGAGATGTATGTTTAAATAATTGGAGAATTATTCAATTTAATTAAATAATTTAATTAAAAGAGAGACTAGAAATAAAGAGAATAAGAACACAAATTGATATTGCAAAACTCTCCCAATTGAAGGAAGAAGGACCAAAAAATGACAAGGGAGTCAGGG